TTCTTTCCTCAGCTTTGGGTAGTTTCCTCACACGCATGTGGCGAGGAGTACTTTGGTGAACATTCAAGGGAGAATTTCCCAGCGTTCTGTCTGTGTAGCTTTCTCTCCTCTGTACTGTGTTCTGCAAACCCAAGCTACCTTGGGCTCCTTGGACTCTCAGTTTCTACAAAGAGTCCACTTGGCTCTACCTCAGTTCACTATATGCTATATGACCTGGGAATGCTTTCAAGCAGTAAGCTGGGACAAATGTAGGGCTAACCTCATTTGTTTCCTGTCATTTGGGGGTCACTGCCTTTCTGTTGCCTGATATCCAGTGTCTTGAAGCCTATTTTTTCATGTATTTTTGTCTTTTTCTTTTTTCTTTTGTTAATCTGCTACCCTAACTTGTCTATACTATTACTTTGAAGAATTTATAAGCATTTTTAAAAGACATGTTTTATATCTCCTTTTCTAAAAAAATAGTTCTGATCTTTCATTTTAATAAGAAAAGTACTTGAGTATAGGCTTTGGGACCCAACTGCCTGGATTGGGGACCTAGTTCCACCGCCCGCCTGCTTGCCAGGAAGTGTTGGGCAAGTCATTGAGTATTCATGAGAAGTGGAGACAACAATAATTCCAGTCATACAGTTGATGTGTGAATCAAATGAGATTGTCTGTGGTGGCACATAGCAGACTATTGGCATGTTGTTGTTAGGTGCTGTCGAGTTGGTTTCAACTCCTAGTGACCCTGTGTGCAACAGTACAGAACACTGCCAGTCCTGCATCATCCTCACTATCATTGCCACACTTGAGCCCGTCGTTGCAGCCGCTGTGGCAGTCTATCTCATTGAGGGTCTTCCCCTTTTTCACCAACCTCCGCTTTACCAAGCATGATACCCATCTCTAGGAATTGATTCCTTCTGACAACATGATCAAAGTATGAGAGATGAAGTCTGGCCATTCTCACTTCTAAGGAGCATTCTGCCTATATTTCCTCCCAGCCAGATTTATTCTTCTAGCAATCCATGGTACATTCAATATTCTTCAATAATACCACAACTCAAATGTATATATTAGTTCTGCAGTCTTCTTTATCCATTGTCTAACTTTCATATGCATATGAGGCTATTGAAGATACCATAGTGCAGATCAAGTGCACCTTAGTCTTCAAAGTGACATCTTTGCTCTTTAATACTTTAAAGAAGGCCTTTGCAGCAGATTTGCCTAATGCAGTAGGTTATTTGATTTCTTGACTGCTGATTCCGTGAGTGTTTTTTGTGGATCCAGGTAAAGTGAAATCCCTAACAACTTCAATCATTTTCCCATTTATCATGATGTTGCTTATTGGTCCAGTTGTGAGGATGTATGGGGCAAAAAACAAAAACAAAAACAGCAAAAAAACCCACAAACCAAACTTATGCCATTGAGTCAATTCGACACATAGTGACCCCTCCTTGGGTTTCTGAGGCAGTATCTGTATGGAAGTAGACTGCCCAATCTTCCTTCCAAGGAGTGGCTGGTGGGTTTGAAACGCCAGCCTTCTGGTTAGCAGTCAGATGCCATTGGCATTACACTACCAGAGCTCCCGATTTATGGGGCACATAGTAGATATTCAGTAACCAGTTTTAAGATAGGAGGTCAACCTTGGTTCATTATTGTATCTTGTGGTTCTAATTCATCTTGAGTGTTCATGTCTCATTGTCTCATTGGGATGTTTTTTTCTATAGATCTGCTCTGGCTGCAGCCATCTTGGCAACCACATTGACTGGGCGGACTGTTGCCATTCCTCAGCCTCGCCAGAGATCCAGGTCTGAAAGTGAGACGACATACACCGGAAAGGACAGCTTCATTGAGCCCTATGCCACCACCTCAGAGCTGAGGCTTCGGTAGGAACCATATCACTGGCTCTGCTCCCTCTCAGGGAAGAGTAGCGGTAGCCCAACATCGTGTATGTGTGTGTGTGCATGTGCACCCGTGGGTTTATGACTAGAATCTTTTGTTGTTGTTATATGCCATCAAGTTGTTTCCTGCTCGTAATGACCCATATTAATTGCTCTTAGATTATATCAGAATTTTTTCCTGAGTGATTTTGTTAAATAATGACCTATAAAAGCATTGATTATTTTCATGGTAGCACAAAGCCAATTAATTCATCTTTTAGCCCTTAGTAAGATTCTCTGTGCCATAAACTAGACAGTGAAAGTTGTGACTTCTCATTCTTCATGTATTTCTCCTTGGAACATTTATACTCATCTTACCTTCTTTGGTATCTGTAGTTTAACCTTTTTTTTTCTTTGACATGTTTACTTTTATTGCTTGAGCTGGGTTTGAGCTGACTTTGGAAGCTTTGACTTTGAGAAAGTTTTCCTATTGAGGAAAGGGGGTTCAAGGAGAGCTTAGTGATATACAGGAATCAATTAGGAACAGATTAAGGTTGCATCGAGGGACAGCCAATGTGGGGCTGTAAAGAGCTTTCCAGAGAGAAAGAAAGGGAACATGACACATGTGAGCAACTGAAGAAAGATGTTTGTAGTTGGCAAGATGTGAGTGAGGTGGAGAGTACTTCAAGATGATGCTGCTGGGGTTGGCAGGGCCAGGCTGGGAGACTTTGTGGGCAGTCCTGTTCAGGGGTTTGGTATCTCCCCTAGGGGCACTGGGAAAGCACTGAAGACCTTTAAGGGCTTGTTGGGTGAGGGTGGGGTGTACATGACCAGATTTGCCTTATTCACTGTCATATATATTCAGTTCTGTTTTTTTCTTTTATTTTTAGAGCTTGTTTTGCATTCAACATTACGTGTACATTTAGTTTCATTCCCCATTTACCATGTCCAACCCTAACCCAGTCTTCTCCCCTCCATACCCTGTAACCCTCCCCCTGTGCCCCTCATATTTATGCACTCCTATTTGTGCTGCATTTCCTCAATTTGAACGTTGGTCCTCTGGTATCCCATGGTCTATTACTCTAAGGGTTGTATTACCATAGAGTATGTGGGGGTGTCATCCTGGGTTGAGTGGTCTGCATGTACATCTTGTTAACTATTGGGCTGAGAGCCAGCCCTTGGGGGTGCATTTTATTCCAGGCACAGAATGTATTCCAGGGCCATAGTATTGGGAGGCTCACCAGATTTCATCTGACCAGTAATTCTGGTCACTATTGAGTTTTGGGATTTTGTTCCATGTTTTCCCTCCCACTCTATCCAGGATCTCCAGATTTGATCCTTTCCTGAGTGGTTGGCATCGGTAGCCAGGCGCCATCTAGTTCTGGTCTCGAGGGCCATCGTGTCCTAGGGCTGATTGCTTCCAAATGCCCCCCCCCCCTTTTTTTTTGCATTCTTCTTCGCTTCCAATGCTAGGAGACCATTAGCTGCATCTTAGATGGCCGCTTGAAAGCTTTTAATACCCCATTCGCTACTCACCAATGTAGGATGTGGAACAAGGCTTTTATGTATTTTGTGGTGCCAATTGAGTCTGGCGTCCCCCAGTACTATGGTCCTGAGATGGTAGATCTATTGGCTTTCTCTCCCATAGTGTCTGGTTGTCTGTGAAGGATTACTCTGTGTTTGTCTTCTATTGTTTCTGTAAGGGCTGCAGGTATTTTGTATCACTGGTGTCTGCAAGATTAGCCTCCACTGAATCTATCCTTGGTCTAGAGTATACTTCTGTTCACTGACCCCTGTCTGATCTCTCAGGTGTTTATGTGTTTATCTGTAGCCTGGTGTTTGGTGTTAATGGCAGTGCAGTATTGTGGACACATTGGTTGGTATTAGCATCTGTCATCTATCTCTTATGTGCACAATTCAGTGTCCTCCCATTACCTAATATTATCATGGTGGTCACAGATCCTTCTCTTATATCTCTTCCCCTACCTATGTCAGTGAGTAGGCCCCGACTAGCCCGAAATTAATCCATCCCCTTCCCTCCACATCCCGGTAACCTACTAAGTGAGTTCTCTTTCCCAAGCAAACCCTTCTTTGTCTTTTTACAGTAATGGGCTCATACAGTACTGTTTTTGTTTTTCTTGATATGCCAAATATTCTATATTTTTAATGTAGTAAAATTTATAAACTTTATCCTTTGTAGTTTTTGTCATTATTGTCAAGTTTAGAAAGAACTTCCTTACTGAAGCATTATATAAGTACCCACTTATTTCCTTCTAGAACGTTTTTATTTTTGGTTTTTACATGTGAAAGTTGAATCCATTTTGAGATGTGTGAATATAGCCTGTTTTCTCCCTGTAAGAGTTTATATTTTGGCTGAATAAAAACTAAAGATGAAGAAATGATTCTAAAATGTACTTGAAAGAATAAAGTGGTGAGGCTATCAAAGGAGATCTTGAAAAAAAGAATACTGGTCCAGGGAGAGGACTGGATCAACCCCATCATATTTAAAAATGTACAGTTAAAGTCATGAAAGCAGTGTGGGATTGGTTCAGTGATAGACAGGTGAGTCATTAGAGCATATGAACACCTTGAGGTCAACTTAGTGGGTACAGCATATTGAATCTTTAATAAAAGCAGGCTCACAGGTCTCAGGGTAAGGAAAGGTTTCAACAGTGTGTAGATTGGCAATGTCAGGAAAACAATTAACTTTGAGCATACACCAAAATAAATTTCTCTTGAGTGAATAGATTAATCTTGTGTCCACATATAAATAAGGCCATTAAAATCAATGTCCAGTCTTTATCAAACCTTTCTGGAGATGAAGTCTGCTTATTACTTCTATGCTAAGAATTTAAAAAGTTAACAAAAACATATGTATATTAAAAATTTACATAACTGAAATAAAATTAAAAGGATAGGAAAAATTTGTAGTAAATACAAATCCAAGATTTCAATTTTTGTAGATAAAAGATAGATTTCAAATTGGAATCAGCACACTAGAATCAAAGTAGATAAGTGACAAAGGACATGAACATACAATTCACAGTAGAGGAATTATGACTCTTATTCAAATGTTCAGCCATTACAGGAGGTGGCATATGATCAAGAACCAGTGGTATTGAAGGAAGAAGTCCAAGCTGCATTAAAGGGATTGGTGAAAAACAAGGCTCCAGGAATTGATAGAATACCCATTGAGATGTTTCAGTAAACGGATGCAGTGCTAGCAGCACTTACTCATTTATACCAAGAAATTTGGAAAAGAGCTACTTGGCTAACCAACTAGAAGAGATCCATATATATGCCCCTTCCAAAGAAAAGTGATCCAACAGAATGCAGAAGTTACCAAAAATATCATCAGTATCACATACAAGTAAAATTTTTGCAGGAGATAATTAAAAAATGGTTATAGTAGTATATTGACAGGGAACTGCCAGAAACTTAAGCCAGGTTCAGAAGAGGGCACGGAATGAAGGATATCATTGCTGATGTCAGATGAATCTTGACTGAAAGCAAAGAATACGAGAAAGGTATTTACCTATATTTTATTGACTGTGCAAAGGGTTTCAACTGTGTGGATTGTAACAAATTATAGATAACATTGAGAAGAATTGGAATTTCAGAACACTTAATTGTGCTCATGAGGAACCTGTACATAGACCAAGAGGTTGTCATTCAAATAGAACAAGCATACTTCATGGCTTAAAATTAGGAGGGCTGTGTATCACGGTTGTTATCATTTTACCATATTTATTCAATCTGTATGCTAAGCATATAATCTGAGAGTCTGGACTATATGAAGAAGAATGTGGCATCAGGATTGGAGGAAGACCTATTAACAACCTGTGTTATGCAGATGACACAACTTTGCTTGCTGAATGTGAAGAGGCCTTGAAGCACTTACTGATGAAGATCAAAGACTGCAGTCTTCATTATGTATTGCATCTCAACATAAAGAAAACAAAAATCCTTACAACTACACCAATAAGCAACATCATGATAAATGGAGAAAAGATTGAAGTTGTCAGTGATTTCATTTTACTTGGATCCACAGTCAATGCCCATGGAAGCAGCAGTCAAGAAATCAGATGACATATTGCACTGGTCAGATCTACAAAAGAGCTCTTTAAAGTGCTAAAGAGCAAAGATATCACTTTGAAGACTAAACTGCTCCTGACCCAAGGCATGGTATTTTCAGTAGCCTCATATATATGTGAAAGCTGGGCAGTGAATAAGGAAGACTGAAGAAGAATTAGAGCATTTGATTTGTAGTGCTGGTGAAGAACACTGAAAATACCAAGGACTGCCAAAAGAATGAACAGATCTGTCTTGGAAGAAGTACAAACAGAATGCTCCTTAGAAGCAAGAATGACCAGACTCTGTCTCGTGTACTTTGGTCATGGTGTCAGAAGGGACCAGTCCCTGGAGAAGGATATCATGTTTGGTAAAGTAGAGGGTCAGCAAAAAAGGGGAAGAACCTCAAGGAGACGGATTGACACAGTGGCTGCGATGATGGTCTTAAGTATAGCAAATATTGTGAGAATGGTGCAGGATCAGGCAGCGTTTCGTTCTGTTGTACACAGGATCACTATGAGTCAGAGCTGACTACTTGACAGCATGTAACAACAACAGTAGTCCAAACATATGGAAAAATGATCAGTCTCAGTAAGAAATGCAAATTCAGACTGAGATTTAAATTCTTTCAGCAAATTTAAAAAATTATTACCACTGTAGTCACAAGTTGGGGAAATGATTTATGCAGTGATCTTGTTTAAAATGCATATAGACACATAAAACATTCACACTATTTGACACAGCAGTTTACCATGTGGTGGTTAGTTTTGTAGGACTAATCCTAAATACAAGAGAGGTTATCTGTACACAGATGTTCATTACTGGGTTATTTATAACAATGAAAACTTGAACATAGTTAAATAAAAGGGATGGCTGATTAGTATGGTGTATCTACTTGATTCCTATTTTTAAAATGTTAACTATGAGAACTTGGTAATAACAAGGCAAGTTGTATATTATGCAGTGATAATAACTATAAAAACAGGAAAAATGGAAAGTAATGCCTAGGGTTTGCAAAGAGATCAGATAGTGGGTGATTAGTCTTTTAGCTTGTTTTTGTTTTTTTGTGATACAGCTATAATACTTTTATGGTGGGAATGGGGGAAAATTCATTTAATGTATGCATATATACCAATGTAAAGTGTTAACTTGTTTGTTTGCTCTTTCATATTCTAATATAGACCAACTTGGCAGAATGAGATGGGAAGAGGAACTTCTTTCCCATCCTTTGAAATGCTGGGCTATGGGGAGGAAGAGGACACTGACACACACCTGTCATCCAGCTGCAAGGAGTCGGGGAACATCAGTGCTCTGAATGAAGCGAGAGGGCACAGTGATGCAGTGTATGCTGTGCCACACAGAGATCAGGTGATCCTCCTATTCCTAGGTTTCTTCTTGATGTTAGCCTACAGTAAATTGTGTAGAGTACATTAGTAAGGTATTTCCTTACTCTGTTCTGCCTTTGCCTTGGGGCTTATTTTATTATTAATTGGTCTTTATTTTATATTATTTATTATTAAGTAGGGAGCTCTGGTAGCATAGTGGCTAAGGCACTTGACTGCTAACCAGAAGGCAGGCGGTTCAAACCCACCAGCCACTCCTCGGAAGGAAGGTTGGGCAATCCTACTTCCGTAGTGATACTGCCTCGGAAACCCAAGGAGGGGTCGCTATGAGTCGGGGCCGACTCGATGGCAAACAACAACAACAACAACAAGAGGAATATCATAATATTTGTCTCTTAATCATAGCTAGCGTTCATCAACTGCTCACCATGTGTCTATATGGTATAGCTTGTCTATTTCAAGCTCATATACATTTATCTTCCCTAAGACTCCTAGCAATGGAATTCCTAGGTTCACTTCATTGCCGTATCACACATAGGAGGACTGAAGTACAGAGGTTGAAGGAGTCTTGCTTTTCCACTACTGCCCAGTTGCTCTACTCAGCCTGGTTTTGAACTTGGTACTCCCTGGGCTTTGGAAATCAGATTGTGCCATTTCTTTTTTTTTTAATTATTCTAAGAGCTTGTTTTACATTCAACATTATGTGTACATTTAGTTTCACTCCCCATTTATCATGTCCAAACCTAACCCAGTCTCCTCCTCTCCCTACCCTGTAACCCTCCCCCTATGCCCCTCATATTTATGCACTCCTGTTTGTCCTGCATTTCCTCAATTTGAATGTCCTCTGGTGCCTCGTGGTCTATTGCTCTATGGGATGTATAGAGTATGTGGGTGCATCATCTTGGGTTGAGTGATCTGCATGTACATCTTGTTAACTATTGGGCTAAGAGCCAGCCCCTGGGAGTGAGTTTTATTCCAGGTGCAGAATGTATTCCAGGGCCATAGTATTGGGGGTGTCATCAGATTTCATCTGACCAGTAATTCTGGTCATTATTGAGTTTTTGGATTTTGTTCTACGTTTTTCCTCTTACTCTATCCAGGATCTCCAGATTTGATCCTTTCTTGAGTTGTGCCATTTCTGTAATGGCAAATGATAACACATCATTTCTTTTTCCTTTCTCTCTTTTCACCATCACTATAACATAAAGGAGCTTTGGTGGCATAGTGCCTAAGGCAATTGACAGCTAACCAGAAGTCTGGTGGTTCAAACCCACCAGTCACTCCTAGGTCAGAAGTTTGGGCAATCTACTTTCATATTGATACTGCCTCAGAAACCCAAGGAGGGGTCGCTATGAGTTGGCTATGACTCAACAGCAGTGAGTTTGGTTTTTTGGTTTATAACATATAAGGGAGACCAGGAAGCAAGCTGGTGGCAGTTTGGAACAGCTAAGGGAGACCAGGAAGTGAGTGGAGCAGTTTAGAGCAGCTAAGGGAAATGAACTGGTCTGTCAGTTTGTCATACTATGGTGGCTTGTGTGTTGCTTTGAGGCTGGAGGCTATGCCACCAGGCGTCAAATGCCAGCAGGGTTACCCATTGTGGACAGGTTTCAGCGGAGCTTCCAGACTAAGACAGACTTGGAAGAAGGAAGAGGCTATCCACTTCTTAAAGAATTGACCAGTAACAACCTTATGAATAGCACTGAAACACTGTCTGATATATTACTGGAAAATTTTATGAATAGCTTTAAATCATTGTCTGATATAGTGTCAGAAGATGAGCACCGCCATTCAGAGGGCACTCAAGATATGACTGGGGAAGAGGGGAAGAGCTGCCTCTTCAGAGTAGACCTGACCTTAATGATGTAGACAGAGGAAATCTTTTGGGACCTCCATTTGCTGATGTGGCACAACTCAGAATGAGAAGAAACAGCTGCAAACATCCATTAATAATTGGAACAGGGAATGTACAAAGTATGAATGTAGGAAAATTAGAAGTTGTTAAAAATGAAATGCAAGTCATAATGATCAGTGTCCGAAGCATTAGTGAGCTGAAATGGACCACTTTTGGCCATTTTGAATCAGACAACCATATGATCTACTATGCCGAGAATGACAAATTGAAGAAGAACGGTGTAGCATTCATAATCACAAAGAAAGTTTCAAGATCTATCCTGAAGTATAATTCTGTCAGTGGTAGGATAGTATCTGTATGCCTACAAGGAAGACCAATTAATATGACTCTTTTTCAAATTTATACACCAATCACCAAAGCCAAAGATGAGGAAGTTGAAGATTTTACCAACTTCTGCAGTCTGAATTGACTGAACATGCAATTAAGATGTGTTGATTATCACTGGTGATTGAAATGCAAAAGTTGGAAACGAAGAATCACCAGTAGTTGGAAAATATAGCTTTAATGATAGAAATAATGCTGAAGATTACATGATAGAGTTTTGCAAGAGCAATAACTTATTCAATGCAAATACCTTTTTCAACAGCACAAACAGCAGCTGTACATGTGGATTTCACTAATGGAGGACACAGGAATCAGATTGACTACATCTGTGGCAAGAGGTGATAGAGAAGCTAAAACAAGGCCAGGAGCTGCCTGTGGAAACAGACCATCAACTGCTCATAGGCAAATTCAAGTTGAAGTTGAAGGAAATTAAAAGAAGTCCATGAGAGTCAAAATATGACCTTGATTATATTCCTCCTGAATTTAGAAACTGGCTAATGAACTGATTTGATGCACTGAACACCAGTGACCAAAAACCAGATGAATTATGGGATGACATCAAGAACATCATCTATGAAGAAAGCAAAAGGTCATTACAAAGACAGGAAAGGAAGAAAAGACCAAAATGAATGTCAGAAGAGACTCTGAAACTTGCCCTTGAACAGAGAGTAGCTAAAACAAATGGAAGAAATGGTAAGATAAAAGAGTTGAAGAGAAGATTTCAAAGAGCAGCTCAAAAAGACAGTGTCAATTATTATAATGAAATGTGCAAAGACCTAGAGTTAGAAAACCAAAAGAGAAGAACAGGCTCAGCATTTCTCAAGCTAAAAGAACTGAGGAAAAAAATTAAGCCTCAAGTTGCAATATTGAAAGATGCTATGGGCAATATATTGAATGATGCAGGAAACATCAAAAGAAGACAGAAAGAATACACAGAGTCACTGTACCAAAAAGAACTGGTCGATCTTCAACCATTTCAGGAGATGGCTTACGATCAAGAACCAATGGTATTGAAGGAAGAAGTTGAAGCTGCCCTGAAGGAATTGGCGAAGAGCAAGACTCCAGGAATTGACGGAATACCTATTGAGATATTTCAATAAATGGATGCTGCACTGGAGGTACTCACTTGGCAATGCCTAGAAATTTGGAAGACAGCTACCTGGCCAACTGGAAGAGATCCCAGTTGTACCCATTCCAAAGAGAGGTGATCCCACAAAATGTGGAAATTATCAAACAGTATCATTAATATTACAGACAAGTAAAACGTTACAGAAGATAATTAAAAAATAGTTGTTGCAGTATATTGACAGAGAACTTCCAGAAATGCAAGCTGGATTCAGAACAGGATATGTAACGAGGGATATCATTGCTGATGTCAGATGGATCTTGGCTGAAAGCAAAGAGTACCAGAAAGATGTTTACTTGTGTTTTATTGACTATGGAAAAACATTCGATTGTGTGGGTCATAACAAATTATGGATAACATTGAGAAGAGTGGGAATCCAGCACATTTAATTGTACTCATGAGGAACCTGTACATAGACCAGGAGGCTGTCTTTCAAACAGAACAAGGGAATACTGTGTGGTTTAAAATCAGGAAGGGAGTGTATCAAGGTTGTATCCTTTCACCATACTTGTTCAAGCTGTATGCTGAGCAAATAATCCGAGAAGCTTCTATATGGAGAAGAAGAACGTGACATCAGGATTGGAGGAAGGCTCATTAACAACCTGCTATTACAGACAATACAACTTTGCTTGCTGAAAGCGAGGATGATTTGAAGCACTTACTGATGAAGATTGAAGACTATAGTCTGTAGTACGGATTACACCTCAATTTAAAGAAAACAAAAGTCCTCACAACTGGACCAATAAGCTGCATCATGATAGATGGAGAAAAGATTGAAGTTGTCCAGGACTTCTATTACTTGGTTTTACAGTCAACACCAATGGAAGCAGCAGTCAAGACATCAGACGACATAGCGCATTGGCCATGGAAGGTAGATGAATCCCTGAAACTGTTGCCCTGAGATAATCTTTAAGCCTTAAACCAAAAATAATCCCCTGAAGTCATCTTAAAAGCAACCAGTAATTTAGCTTAACTAGTTAAAAAAAAAAAAAAAGCCTCCCTTAAGTATTATGCTCTTTTGGACCTCTCTATGGGATCAAATTGATAACAACAACTCAGTGAGTTTATGTTAATGAAGAGGAACAACTCAGAAAAAGAGTGTGAGAATGGTTGCATAATTCAAAGAATGAAATCAGTGTCACTAAATGGCACATGTAGAAACTGCTTTATGTATCTTTGATAGGGTGAACAAAGCAATTTGCTCTGGAGATAAAAAACAAAAGGAAGTTACTTTTTTATTCCTTCAAATGACAGAGTGGGAGACAGTATCTTTTAGGATTCCGTTGCTCCTTAGTTGCATCACTTCCAACAGCCTCCACGTACATGTTTTACTATGTATATTCTCAACAACAACAAAATAAAGAATATTTAGGGGCAAGAAAAAGTCATTACCATACCCGATGTCACCTAGATTTTCTCCTATGTTATCTTCTAGAAGTTGTATAGTTTTGTGTTTTATGTTTAGGTTTGTAATCCATTTTGAGTTAATTTTTATGAAAGATAAAAGGTTTATGTCTTGATTTTTTTTTTCCAGTTGTTCTAGAATCATTTATTGAAAAGACTATCCTTTCTTCATTAAATTGCTTTTGCTCCTTTATCAGGAAAGAAAACAAAATGCCATCTTAAGTTATACTTAATAGTTTCTATTTCTTTTTCTCTCCTTTCTTTCCTTGTTTGGATTTTTTATTTAGTTGTTCTTTTCTTTCTCTCTACTATTTTGGATATTAACTCTGCTCTTATTTTAGTAATTGCCTGAGAAATTAAAACATACATTTTACTCTTTAAAATCCAAGTTAATATGCTATCCCAGAAGAGGATAAAGGAGCGAAAGGGTAAGTGGTACAGACAGATGAGGGAAAGGCCATATGCCTGGTGCATGTGCCTGATGGCTGTATGCCTGATGACAGTGTGGAGCTGGGCCAGTCTCCTCTGTCCCTTATCCAATACCCAAACAGGTTTCTAGTTATCAAAGGTAATTTTCACAGTCAGAGCTATTTTGAAATTAATAACAAAAAAAAGTTTGAAATTAAGCCTTTAAAATTAGAGTTATATTTGTAAAATAGAGTCCAAATTCTTTATGAAGGTATGTTTTTAATAAACTTACTTATTGATGTATTAAAATTACACAAAGATTGTATAAATAAAAAATGGATAGCTCAATTAATTTTTCACACATTCCAGATTTAAAAAAAAAAAAAAAAAAAGAACTAGCAGCCCAGAACCTCCCTTTGCTCCTTTTCTTGGTCATGATTTTGTCATGACCACTATCCTGACTCTAAGCACCTAGATTAGTTTTGCATCTTCTGAAAATTGTGTGAATCGAATCGTACAGAATGTATTTGTTGGGGATTTTGAAAGTCTCTGGTAATTGCATGTAGCAGTAGTCAGTTCGTTCTTGTTGTATAATGTTTCATCATACGACTGTACCATTCAATTATTTATTCGTTTTACTGTTGGATTTTGCTTGTTTCCATTTTGGGGCTCTTAAGAATAGTGCTGCTATGCATTTGTGAATGTGTCCTTTGATCTGCTGGGTCACAGAGTATGTATGATCAGCTTTAGTAGTAATAGATACTGACAAACAGTTTTCCAAATTAAGCTCTCTTTATGATGATATTTGAATCCTCTCACCAATTTCACATTTCCTTGATAATAATGAATAGCTTTATATATCTTTGATAGGGTGAACAAAGCAGTTTGCTCTGAGATAAAAAGCAAAATGAAGTTACTTTTTTATTCCTTCAAATGACAGAGTGGGAGACAGTATCTTTTAGGGTTCTGTTGTTCCTTAGTTGCATCACCTCCAACAGCCTCCATGTACATAGAGGCTGATGGCGATGGTGGCCTTAGCTCTTGGCTTTGAAATGTCCCTTCTCACAAGCATCTTGATGGTCACTGCCGCCAAACTGATCACATAAGCAAGACTTTACTAGAGAATCAGGGTAGCAGAAGGGAAACCACCTCAGAGAGTGCCAGTCATACTTTACTGTACAAGACAAGCATCTGCTTATTCACTGCTGTTCCTGGTGGACAGCTTAGTCCCACCTCCCAGACCCCTGCTTGTGGGAATGTCTTCTCTTCTTCAGGAGAAGTCTCCTTGCTGACTCACTGGTCTCTAACAGACAGAGCTGAGGGCTTGCTGCTATTCACTGATGTCTACATAGGAGATGCTCACAAGCAGTAGAAGGGAAGGTTCCATTCCATCAGGAAATGACATTTGCAGTGGACACACATCGTCAGTAAATATAGTAAGCCTCGATCCCAAACAGTTGTCTGGATATGGGTTCTTAGGGTGCTGGTCAGCAGTTCTTGTCTGTCTTGAGATTAATAATGCAGAGTCAGTACCATGGTAGGGTAGTATTGGGTGCTGTGAAGAGCAGTCCGGGTGCAGCTCCTTTTTGTGGGTTTGTCCTTAGCAGGTGTGATGAAGGGAAGCTGCCAGGGTATCATGGGTGGGATGTCATGCTCTTCATAGCCTGAGCATCTCCCTAGGGGACCAAAGTTCTCATCCATTGCTACCATCTTTAGTCCTTATGTATCTCACTGAGAAAATGGCTTAGGCTGCTTGAGGAGAGAGGTAGCAGGGAGAAAATGTGAAATGAAACGTGTGAGTTTGTTAAGAGGAAATTTTATATAGATTACTTTTATCACATATTTGCTCTTTTTTCTTTTTTTTTAATGAACAAAAAAGGTTCCATTACATGGGGTGGACAGTGAAGAAAATGAAAATATTTCTGAGCCAGATGGGTTCCCAGACTCAGGTCTTACACCACAGCGTACACAAGAAAAAGGTAAAAAACAAAATTTAAAAAATATAAAAGCATCTCATGGTAATAAATACAGTTTACTTTCTATAAAAATTCAGCCAGTGCATCTCATACTGTGGTTCCATGATTATGATGACTAGGAATATACCTGAATTTTATTTTCCCCAAAATAAATTATTCACAGTGGATTACCTGCATGTTAAAACTCACTGCCATTGAGTTGATTCCGACTCATAGCGACCCCTTTGGGTTTCTGAGGCGGTAAATCTTTACGGAAGTAGATTGGCCAGTCTTCCTTCCGCGGAGTGGCTGGTGGGTTTGAACTGCCAACCTTCTAGTTAGCAGTCAAATGCCTTAGGCACTATGCCACCAGAGCACGTTTAATTTACCTGCACGTTAGGTTTTGTCTGTTACTTCAGCCGTGACGATACATAGGAAGGATGGCTTGTGGCTCACTTGTAAAGCTTTCCACGCTCACTTCCCTCTCCCTGGTGCCTGGTGTCACTCAGAACAGCACACAGTGGTGCTCCATTGAAATGCTGAGAATGAACGAATGAGGTTATTTGTCATGTTCACCATGCTACCCCCACCCCTGCCCTGGTGCCTGGAGTAGGATTTGGCCCACCGTGGGCCATCAGTAAAGGTTTGTTCAACAACAAACCTTATGTTGTAAATATGTGCATGGACATATCTACAATGCAATTCTTTAACTGCATCACCAGCTGTCTTTACATATTTTATTTGGCAGAGAGAATTCAGTATATTGCAGCAAAGATTGCTGTTGTTAGTTGCTGTCAAGTTGATCTTAACTCATGGTGACCCCATATGTGCAGAGTAGAGCTGCTCTATAGGGTTTTCAAGGTTGTGACCTTTTGGAAGCATATTACCGGACCTTTTTTCTGAGGCGCCTCTGGGTGAATTCAGATTGCCAACCTTTTGCCTAGAGGTTGAGTGTTTAATTGTTTGCATTTTCCAGAGACTTCATAGCAAATATAAGAAACAGTTTTTATTTTCTTAAGAGGTAGCTTATGTTTGAAAAGAGAGAAAGAGAGCCTAGCATACAGTGGATACCAATAACTGCTGTATCAGGATGCTTGGAGTTCCTTGGGCTCTGGGAAACTGTTATGTAAGTCAGTCTACAAAGCTGTCTGATTGATAAAACAGGATACTAGCTTTATAATACCTGGGCCAGGAGTGCCTATTGGATTCTAGGCCTATTTTATTAATGCAGGAAGATCTATGTGCACATGTATAGATCTATATGTAAGTTTATGTAAAAAGTATATATATCTTTATTTTTTTAATTATAGATGCAATAACTGGTATAAGAAAAAAACCTCAAATGTATAGAGTAGAAAGTTAAACACATAATTGTTCTCCCAGAGATAATTACTCTGAACAGTTTAGAGTGTATATATACATAAAATGGAGTCCCTAGGTGGTGCAAAACGTTAAGCACTCAGCTGCTAACCAAAAGGACGGTGGTTCAAGTCCACCCTGAGGCACCCAGATTGCCTGGTGATTTGCTTCTGAAAGATCACAGCTGTGAAAACCCTGTGGAGCACAGTGTTACCCTGAAGCACAGAAGGACTGCATGAGTTGGAATTGACTCAATGACAACTGTTATTGTTTTGTTTTTAAGCATATATATATATATAATACATGCTATTTTGTTACCTGCGTTTTTTCATCTCACAACATAGTCCTAATTTCTTCTTATGTTGATATATGTGGATCTCTCTTTCCTTTTCTAATGTTTGTGTTGCCTATGGTCATTTGAAATCCAGTCAGGAGACAGACACCATACTGATTTGAATAGGAAAAGTTTAATGTAGAGAATTACTAACGTTAACAGGATTACCTACTAAGCGATAAAGAAAACTAGGGAGAATACAGGAACAGCAGAGCGAAGAGCCACCACCTGTAGTGTTAATGCAGAACATCCAAGGAAGAAGTGGGTTTGGAAGAAGCTCATCTAGAGCTGAGATCCTGATGGAGAGGGGACAGCAGTGCCCACTGGCTGGCGGAGAAATGCTCTGAGGTGTTTTGCTAACAGAACACTCTGGGAAGCTGCCTCTTAGAATAGGATTCCAGAAGATAATACCTGGAGGAGGTGCTAGATGCTGCTGCTAACTGCCTGAGATAATAGTCTGTGTGACCGTGTGTGAGTGTACAAGCAATCCATCAAATTGAACATGAGAATCAGAAAGCAGAGCCCCTTTCTCCTCCAGTGTCTCTCTTGTACCCTCTACTGACAGTTTATTATCATGCCACTTGGCAGGGTAGAAATGTTCCTGTATCACAGGCAAGCAATGAAGGGTAGATTTGGAGCTTAGACACAATAAAATGATTAACTAGCAGTTGGTAAACAGGCACAAGGGGCATTTGGGAGAATGAGTGGCTCCTTCAGTGCTTCTTCGTTTGTGGTGGGCATTAAAGCACCTGGATACTTGATGGAAAAGGCCTCACACTCCAAATTCTAATTCAGTGGCTCTGGGGCAGGGCCCAGAGATCTGTATTTTTAGCAAGGACTTTGGGAAGTCTGATGTGGTGATCCTTGGACAACGCATCAGAAACCTTGGCTTTTAGTGGTTTGTTCTCAACTCTTATCATTCCCAGGTGAGAGAATTGGCTGAGTTACTTAACCCTTCTTTACTGCCCCTTTCTTCAGATCATTGGACTCAAATCTGTAAAGCACAGCATCTTCCATAAATGTGGTTGTTGTTGTTATGTGCCATTGAGTTAATTTTTGACTCATAGTAACACTGTGGGACAGAGCAGAACTTCTCATAGGGTTTTCTTGTCTGTAGTCTTTATGGGAGCAGATTGCCAGGTCTTCATCCTATAGAACTACTGGGTGAGTTTGAACCTTCAGCCTTTTAGCAGCAAAGCGCTTAACCATTGCACCACCAGGGCTCCTTTCCATAAATGCTAACTGATATATATATATATATATTTTAATTTGTGTTAGGCTGGGTTCTCTAGAGAAGCAGTAAAGCTTATATACATAGAGAGAGAAAGAGAAATTTATCTTAGGAAAATGGCTTACATGCTTACAGAAGCTGGCAAGTCCCAAGTTCTTGAATCAAACATCAAGCTGGAGGCTTTTCCTGACTCATGCAACTTCAGGGGCTGAAGAGCTCAAGGTTGGCAGACAGTACCACTGGATGTTGACTCCAACGGATGACGAATCCAAGATCTCCAGGCCGAATGGTGGATTGTTCGCTCACAGACAGCTGTAAGCAGCACAACAGGATCCCAATCCACAGAAGAGTGTCTCTTTTTCCAGGATGTCCATAAATATACTGGAAGCAGGCCACACCCTTAGGGAAATTCCCTTTCAACGGATTGGTTGCTCAAAACATATACATCTGGTCCCATCATGGGAACAACCCACATCAAAATTGCTTAAACCACACAGAATTGTGGTCCAGCCAAGTTGACACACAGCTCCAACTATCACATAATTTTGTTGTGATTTGGGTGAAAGTTTGTAGAGCAAATTCATCTTCCATATAGCAGTTCACATACGCTTTGTCTCATGACATTGACTGCAATCTCCCACCATGCAACAGCTCTCCTCCTACTTCTTCCCCATAGCCACCTCTTCCCTGTGTCCTTCCCTCCCATGCACTCCTGCTCCCTGAGCTGTCTCCCTGTGGATACACAGCCCTTGTATTCTTCTCCCATGATTGTTCTCTCCAAGAAGTATATTTCCCTGTTGTAAATGTTCAGCTCATATGCCTGTTTTTTGTTTGCCCAGACCTAAAGGGCAACTAGGGGCCATAGTCTCAGTGGTTCCACCAGGCTCTATCAGACCAGCAAACCTGGTCTATTTTTTTTTTTTTTTTAGTGATTTTGAGTTTTGTTCCACATTGTTCTCCCACTCTATCCAGGATCTCTTACATAGATCCCCTTCCAAGTGGTTGATAGTAGTAGCCGGACAGCGTCTAGTTCTTCTGGTCTCAGAGTTATATAGGCTGAGGGTAGCTGATAATTTTTATCTAAAGCCTAAAACCATCAGCTCTGAGGATCTGATGCATCTTTCTTCATTCTAGCAATACTAGAGCAATACTGCTGAGAAGTATCACTTCCTTTGGTCAGAGCTGTCAAATGTTTGCCAATGGGACATCATTCACCTTTCCTATATTCTGTGTGTGGGAGCTCTGATGGGATAGTACCTAAGGCATTTGATTGCTAACCAGAGAGCTGGCGGTTCAAACCCACCAGCCATTCCTCGGATGGAAGGTTGGCAATCTACTTCTGTAGTGATACCACTTTGGAAACCCAAGGAGGGTTTGCTATGAGTCAGATCTGACTCGATGACAGTGGGTTTGGTTTTTGCGGTTTTATATTCTGTGTAGAACTTCTCCCTCTTTTGATCCCATAGTTCCCTTAGGCTAGTTCTTCTCTTTAACAATCAAATTTGTCAAAAAACTCATCTATACATGCTTTCTCTTTTTCCTCATCTGACAACATCTCCTTAACCCATTCCAGTTTGGCTTCTGTTAAATTATTCCATTATTCCACCAAACTAGTCACCTTTATGTTGTTAAATACAGCGGATGATTTTCTATCATGGTCTTATTTGACCTCTCATGAGCATTCCACATAGATAACTGCTCCTTCTGTCTTAAAATACATCCCTTCCTTTGGATTCCATGACATCTTATTTTTTTACCTGACTCTCTGGGTGTTGCTTCTTCATCCCCTTTGCAGGCTCCTCTTTCTCATCTGCCCATTAAATTTTGGAACTCTTCAAGACTCATAGTAGGCCCTTTCCTCAGAATATTCTTCTAAGGAGTCACAGCCAGCCCCACTGCTTCAAATACAATTTATTGTGTGCTATGCCTACATTTCTTATGAGCTCATAATTCCATATAACCAAATGCTTACTATTTGATTTTGTTCATTCATTCATTTGGCCAGAAGATATATGTATACATATCAAAGGCCCACTGTGTGTTTGGCACTGTGGTAGTAGCCAGAGCAATCTCAAAACACAAATTTGGTAATGTTACTTT